GAAAAGGCAGCAAATATTTGATTTCACGCAAACAAATCCTATGTATCTCTTGATACGTATTTCGACCTAATAGGTCTCGTCAGAAGAGCTATTCATAGGGTTTCTCAACGTGAAAAATCAATATTTTCTGCCTTTTAAGAAGCAACAATAACGTGGCTTCGATACGGACGCACTAGCGACATCTAATTTAACAATCGTAAAATAGTTTCGAAACACAATTCAGATTTCTGCTTTATAATCTGAGCCTTCTTAGAATTGCAAGGCAAACAGACGTTGATAAAAGATGTTAAAAGAGACATGGGGAATCTAAAATTTGCATTCCACGACATGTCTTTTACAACTAAGCAGAAATCCTTAGCGAATTGTGCTTCTTGTACTCCCACAGAGTAAATCCGAATAAAATGAGAAAAGGCAGCAAATATTTGATTTCACGCAAACAAATCCTATGTATCTCTTGATACGTATTTCGACCTAATAGGTCTCGTCAGAAGATCTATTCATAGGGTTTCTTAACGTGAAAAATCAATATTTTCTGCCTTTTAAGAGCCTTTATTGTTGCTTCTTATTGATTATAAAGCAGAAATCTGAATTGTGTTTCGAAACTATTTTACGATCGTTAAATTAGATGTCGCTAGTGCGTCCGTATCGAAGCCATGTTATTGTTGCTTCTTAAAAGGCAGAAAATATTGATTTTTCACGTTGAGAAACCCTATATATCGTCTTCTGACGAGACCTATTAGGTCGAAATACGTATCAAGAGATACATAGGATTTGTTTGCGTGAAATCAAATATTTGCTGCCTTTTCTCATTTTATTCGGATTTACTCTGTGGGAGTACAAGAAGCACAATTCGCTAAGGATTTCTGCTTAGTTGTAAAAGACATGTCGTGGAATGCAAATTTTAGATTCCCCATGTCTCTTTTAACATCTTTTATCAACGTCTGTTTGCCTTGCAATTCTTAGAAGGCTCAGATTATAAAGCAGAAATCTGAATTGTGCTTCGAAACTATTTTACGATTGTTAAATTAGATGTCGCTAGTGCATCCGTATCGAAGCCATGTTATTGTTGCTTCTTAAAAGGCAGAAAATATTGATTTTTCACGTTGAGAAACCCTATGAATAGCTCTTCTGACGAGACCTATTAGGTCGAAATACGTATCAAGAGATACATAGGATTTGTTTGCGTGAAATCAAATATTTGCTGCCTTTTCTCATTTAATTCGGATTTACTCTGTGGGAGTACAAGAAGCACAATTCGCTAAGGATTTCTGCTTAGTTGTAACAGACATGTCGTGGAATGCAAATTTTAGATTCCCCATGTCTTTTTTAACATCTTTTATCAACGTCTGTTTGCCTTGCAATTCTTAGAAGGCTCAGATTATAAAGCAGAAATCTGAATTGTGTTTCGAAACTATTTTACGATTGTTAAATAAAACAACATTTAAACTATTTGACTAACCGCTTTAAAATTTTGACCTTATATTAATCACTACAAGAGCCAGATTCCACTTATACATATAAAGATTCTGTTTATACGATATAAAGTTTTTGTTTTTTAAAATTATTAATGTCTATAAAACTTATTTTGCAATTTTATAAGCAACAAATAGGGTTGAAAAATGCCATTTTAAAGGATTTTATAATATATGATTTATAAGATTATTACTCTTAAATTTGTGTCAAGTACTTTACTTTTTGCTAATAAATAAAAAAATAATAAATTGTCAGGGTAAAAATATATTTTTTACCTTAATTTGTTAATAACTAATTAAGTCCAAAAAATTAACTGAAGGAAACATATAAGTTCTTATATATGCTCATACTAACCAAAATAGCTGTCGTTTCTGTGACCGGGTCAGTGTCACGAGAAAAATCTTATTTTCCTGGACTATAACATCTATTTAAGCAAATACATGGTATTTGTTAATAATTATTTAAGTACAATGTCTAGAATGTATGATATCTTAGAAAGGGTTCGTTGAAAATAGATAAACAACCAGATAATACAAAGCAACATAGCTATTAAAAGACATCATCCCATACAGTAAAGCTAAATCTCAAAAGAAGTAAAAATGATCATAAAAAGCCATACTTAAAAGACATATACTCAATAATAAACATCATAAGCTTACCTTTAATTAAAACTTTTTAAAAAAAAACGTTTTGAACCAATCCGATATTTTTTTAAACGCAATGAAAACTTCATCTAACATATGTGGTTTATTTATCAATTTCAGTGTTATCTAAATAGTATATAAAATAATAATAACAACCTGCCAATGACCTTTAATTAAAAATAAACAAAAAATCGAATAACCTAGAGATATGGGTAAACATATTTTTCACCATTGGAAATTATCTCCGTCCACTAATAAGCAAAAAGCTTCCTACTTTTCTAGTATGTCCACCATTTGTATATCCTCCAGGTATTCCTCTATTAGGACTGTTTCATCAGCAAATCATTGTTGACCTACCAATAATTATAACTCTTACTTTTTTTTACTAATGCTTTATGGAATGTTGGTTTTTAGCATATCTTAAACACAATAAGAATCAACATAATATACTCGTACTTGCTCATCGTTGCATCAATTACGTAATTGATCTATTTGCCCTAATATAATTTAATCCCTTATTAGAATAAATTGTGCGTGGTTAACCATGTCTCGTGACAAACTGTCGGAAATATACTATCCAGGCTTCACTTCTAATTGAATTGCCTTTGTTGAAAAACATAAAAAAGGACAAATATAACATCTACTTGTTTGTGAGCCGCGACAACGCTGTTTTTTTATTGCAAAAGGACCTGCGTAATCCGTTCCCGTTCCATAACGTGGAGGAGTTTTCTATTTTTAGTTAAAGACCCATAATCTGCTCCAATGTCATAAATTTGGAACGGAAACATCTAACACATCTACCATACACTTTTCTCCCTCACGCTAGCACTACAAGTTTCGTCCTACCACTACTCAAAAATTTTTCTCTGGTAGTACTTAACAATTCCTGCAGTTGACAATGTAATAACCTCTTGTAACCCATTTTCAATAACAATAATGTAAGTTTATGTTTAGTGTGTATAAAGCGAGAGTGTTTTTGGGAATAAGCTATTTTTGCTAATTTTAATCTACTCCCTCCTGCTAAGAAATCCTGCCTCATCTAGAAACGGATTCGAATACAGGAAATTTTTTTCAAGGTTTTCCCTCTTCCAATGCTATCATTTGTGTTCCAAAGCTTTCTTTTTATAAGACTAGTAATAATGCATCCATAGAACGTTACAATTCTAAAAGAGATAGCGCACTAGTTTCGATAGTCCCTTTATCTTATCTTTTTAACATACATTAACAACATGCCACAGTTCTCCTTAACTTTCATCAACACTTAACAATTGATGTAAATTAATAATTTTTGAAGGTAAGAGACCCCTAGATAAAAGATCTGCTGGATTGGGCTCTGATGTCACATGTCACATGGAATTGTTTGTGCCTTCAATGAACTTTAGAACACAATAAATTTACTGTAATTAATCCGTTGTAACCGATACTTCTAAGGTAGACACAAGGTCTGTATACTAATTTAGAAGCATCTACAATTTGATAAGTGTCCACCAAAATAGCATTCGTGCAAACCGCATACCTCCTAATTTGTATACTATTTAGATTTAAGAACTCAGCTCGCAATTTTTTGTAACAAATGTATTTCCAAAAGTATTGAGGGTCCTACCAACTCCAAAATATTAAAAATCCTTATTACCTCTAATGGTATGGATAGTTTTATATCCTTATTGCTTCCAGATAGACAATCTATAGTGAACCTTAATTCATCCTCTTCAAATGCCCACACCAACCCTAGTGTCTTGTTTTTTTTTTGCTCGAATTTAAAAAGTACTGGAACCATCTTCTGATACTGCTTTGGTGAGAGATCCTGCTCTGATCCCTTAAGTTTTTGTCACCCATTTTCTCAGCTTCATTCCTCCATCTTTTAAAACTTGCTTTACTTTCTTGCACAGGCTTATAGCTTTTTCTTCCTATTCAGCACCAGTAAGTAGGTCATCCACATAAAAGTCTTTTAAATTCGTTTGAGAAGCCTTAAGTCTAGTCTCTGCACATTGAAGTCACTTAGTCCTTTAAACACCTTAATGCCAGGTAAGGCCTAGATTTTGTTCCAAATGTTGCTGTGTTACGTATCAGGTAACAGGTATATTTTATAGTAGTTCCAAAAATAACTGAAATAATCCCATGTTGGAATATACTTAACAAGGTTAAATATTCCAAAACATCTTCGATTAGCAGATCCAGGATTTCATAAACCTGGAAAGTTTAATCTTCTCCTAGGGGTGAAAATATTTTATGAGCTGTTGTGTGTAGGACAAATTAAATTGGGTCAAAATCTTTCAATGCTTCATAAGACAAAGTTGGGTCAACTGGTCAATGAAAAAATGAAAAAATTGGCTCCTAGAAGAAGTTCCAGAGGGACGAAAGGTGCTTTCAAAAGAAGAGTGCACTGGGTCAATCTGAGTAATTATAATTAAACAGATTTTACAATTTGAAAGAAAAATTGAAAAGGAACAAAAAGTTTAAAGACTTATACTTCGCATTCATGCAAAATTATATTAAAATGGGTCTCATATAACATTATCAGAGGGTTCGTTGATACAATCTCATATTATTTTCCAGATCATGGAGTACTCCAAATAATTCAACTGTAACATATTTTACTGGAGCGGTCTTACTTAGAGTTCCTCCCAAAGTAACTTCTATTGAATTCCTAGGTAAATTCAACTGATTTACAACTTAGGAGAGAACTTGGAGAGACAAGAAAAAGATCGAAAGATGCAGTCAGAGAGGATCTGAAGAAAATTGGTGTAGGAATATGGGAAATATTGGTACAGGACCGAAAGATGGAAGACCATCGAAGAGTTATAACGCCATTGATGATCATGACGAAGAGTTAATAGAAACCATTAAAGAATTTTTGAATTATTAACAGCGTTGTATATTACGATGAAACAGGAACGTTTGAAATTTGATCTTTATTTTAAAGCTGGTGATCTGGAAACCGGAACGTTAAATAAAGTAGGTCCAATGATTTCATTGTGGTTGTATTTACTTCTAAATCATCAAAGGTTATAATATTAATTTAATAAATTTCTGGATTTTGATGATTTCATGCCCATTATTATTATACACTAATGTGAAATCAGCTATGAATGGGTTATAAAAAGAATAAGCAAGATTTGCCGGATATTATATAATTTTCTGTTATATTTTATTATTAGATTTTATTAAAAACACCTCAAAATGAATGCATAGACATTTCTAATTAAAAACAACACATTGTAATTAACTAAAACTAATAAAATCCTGTTAATTATTTTCAATAATAAAAATATTCCAATAAAAAATATATTCCAACTTGTAAACGAATGTAGTTTTAACTTTGTGGGTTTAACGGTTAAATTTTTAATTTAATAGCTTGAGGAGAATTGAACCAATGTACACTTTCTACTACTTAAAATCCAGTATATTTCAGATTTACTTGTAGAGATTATTTAAATTTTTTAACAAATATGAAATTTTTTAGATCCATTTGTTTTACCACCATTACATGTTTCTTTGTAGTACGAAACCGTTAGTACTGCCCAAAGCTTTGCATAATGCAGGAGAACAGGATATAATTTTGCTGATCTGGTTTACACATGGATCCAGGATGGAGCAGCGCGTAAGCGTTGTATTTCAGACATTCGCAGTGAAATATTTGCGATCTTATTAAAGATTTAGAGAAAACTATCTCTCGGATTTAAATTTTTTATAAAGTTAGTAGAAGTAAAACCATCGTTTTACATCAGTTAGATCTTAAAAGACAGAAAATATTGATCTTTCACATTGAGAACACCTATGAATAACTGTTCTGATGAGACCTATTAGGTCGAAATACGTATCAACAGATACATAGGCGCTGTTTGCGTGTAATCAAATATTTGCTGTCTTTTTCATTTTATTCGCATCTACTCTGTACGAGTACAAGAAACCAATTCGCTACGGATTTCTGTTTACTTGAAAAGACATGTCGTGGAAGGCAAATTTTAGATTCCCCATGTCTCTTTTAACAGCTTCATAAACGTCTGTTTGGCTTTGCAATTTTTAGAAAGCACAGATTAAATCAGAAATCTGAATTGTGTTTCGAAAATATTTTACGGATTTATTATCAGATGTCGCTATTGCGTCCATATCGAAGCCATTTTAGTGTTGCTTGTTAAAAGACAGAAAATATTAATCTTTCACGTTGAGAACACCTATGAATAACTATTCTGATGAGACCTATTAGGTCGAAATAGGTACCAACAGATACATAGGCGCTATTTGCGTGTAATCAAATATTTGCTGTCTTTTTCATTTTATTCGCATCTACTCTGTACGAGTACAAGAAACCAATTCGCTACGGATTTCTGTTTACTTGAAAAGACATGTCGTGGAATGCAAATTTTAGATTCCCCATGTCTCTTTTAACACCTTCATAAACGTCTGTTTTGCTTTGCAATTTTTAGAAAGCACATATTAAATCAGAAATCTGAATTGTGTTTCGAAACGATTTTACGGAGAAATGAATAAATTTGTACGCATAGATAACATAAAAGAGAAACAATGGACTGAGCATTTAACGAAATTATATGAAGAAGGTGAAGAAGAGAAAGAATCATTAGCAAAACTCACGATAGAGTACCAATATCAGAAGAAGAGCTACTTCTTCTTCGGGTTCCTTCTCCTAGCGGAGGTTGGAAATCATCATCGCTATTTTAACTTTGTTGGCCGCATTTCTGAATAATTCTAATGAGCTGCAGCCGAACCACTCTCTCAAATTTCTTAGCCAGGACATTTTGCGTCGTCCTGGGTTTCTCTTCCCTTGTATCTTCCCTTGCATGATCAACCTCAGTAATACGTACTTCTCACCCCTCATTAAATGTCCCAGATATTGAATCTTTCTAATTTTAACAGTTTTTATGACTTCACATTCTTTCTTCATTCTTTGTAACACCTCTATATTAGTTACTTTTTCAATCCACGATAGAAGAGCTACAAGAACGAATAAAAAATTAAAAATCAGAAAAGCGCCTGGTCCTGATAAGATAAACAATAAACTGCTAAAATATGGAGGAACAAGACTACGCAAATGGCTCCTTAAATTATTCGTCGATATAATAAATACCGGAATAGTACTAGCTGAATGGAAAAAAGTCTCCTGTTACCCATACTTAAAAAGGGAGGCTCGAGAAATCCGGAAAATTATAGAGGCACTAGTTTGATGAATAGTACATTAAAATTGTTGTGGAAGCAGAAGGCTTCCGGAAGAACTGCAGCACAATAGACGCAATTTTTATTGTCAGACAAATAATAAAGAAGTCTATTGAATATGGAAAGCCAGCATAAATCTGCTTTGTAGATTTAAAAAGTACTTTTGACAGGGTAAAGCGAAATTACATCTTAAAATTATTACAAGCTGAACAAATAGACCATCAGATAATAAGGACAATTATGGAAATTAACAAGAACAACAATAAAACATGGGAGTGCATAAAATTAAAATACTATGCTATGCCGATGATGCAGTACTAATTGCTGATAACGAAGACGACCTACAAAGGCAGCTCCATACTTTTAATATCACAGCAAATAAACTTAATATGAGAATAGCAGTAGAAAAAACTAAATGTATAGTGATCAGTAAAGAGCCACGTAGATGCACACTAGAAATAGACGGCAAAATTGTAGAATAAATAATGAAATGCACTTACCTAGGAGTACAGATCACTAGTGATAGGGATATCAGAATAGAGACCACAAGGCAAGCATCAAAAACGGCAAGAGTAAGTGGTTACCTCCGAGAAACCATATGGAGAAACGAATATCTGACCAAGGAAAGCAAAATGGAAGTATAAAAGACAACATTAAGACCAATCCTAACATATGCAGCGGAGACAAGAACAGATACAAGAAAGATGAAACAACAAATCAACAATATCGAAATGAAAGTAATAAGATCAATAGCGAGCATATCATTAATAGACAGAAAAATCAAAAAGGTGGAAAGATAATGTAAAGTCAACAACGACTGAAACAGAATAAGAGGCAGACAAACAGGAGTAATCCTAGTCATACGAAGAAGCAGAAGACTCATAGGCTACTTTGTTACTATAAGTTTGCTTTATACCTTTCCAGAATTTTAATCGTACAACAATCGTTCATTTACATACTTAGATCCTGTTTTTTTAATGGACGTTGTATTGATGTTATTTTTAATTAAATTGACTGTTTAGTTAATTTATTGATAAAAAGGTGATAAGGTTCCGTGTATATTTGTAATGAACAATGTATCAAATGAATTACTATTACAAACTTCATATCTTTATGTTGATACAAAAACAATGATATATTAAAAGTATGGTCTTTATTACTGATAAGCATTTGACCCATATTAAGAATTTGCTTTTGTCCTCTTGACCGAGGATGTTTTCAATTTGTTGTTTATACAAGTTAAACGATAAGGCGTCCGTTTTTGAACACACGAGTCTGCTAAACGTCTAAAAAGTGTAGAAAGTTTATCTTTGTTATAACTTTTGAATCACATCAAGATCATATTTTTATTGTTAAATAAAAAAATAAAAGCTCTATATTAAACTAAACTGATTAATATTGTTAGAAAACTTTTGTTTTAAAAAATATTAAAATATAATATTATACGTAAATTTACTGTGAAAAAACTTTAGCAATCTATATAATATATTAAAAATTGTCATCGAAAGTGACATCTAAAGGAAACATAACTGGCCGCACTGACTTAGTCCAACAAATAGGATAAATACCAAAAACTCCAACGCCATTAAAAAGACACCAAAATATCTCCTATTTGCAAAACAAAAAGAAGCATTTGCCATTTCTGAAGATATGCGGAAGGAGAATGTCATCCCAGAGTTGAGCAGCTTCTGGTCTTCTTTTTAGTAACTAAGAAAGATGGTTCCACGGGGTTCTGTGTCAACTACAGAAGATAAAATAGCGCCACCAAGAAAGAGAGCTATCCACTGCCATCTAAATATTTTTCACTATTGATCTTAAAAGCAGCTATTGGCAAGTTGCAGTCCAATATGAAGACAAAGACGCAGCATTTTCTGTTAGAAATGGGCTATACCAATTCAACGTGATGCCATTCGTATTGTGTAATGGACCTGCCACGTTTGAACTATTAATGGAGTTATTGCTTAGGGAACTTACATGGAAATCCTGTCTAATATACCTCGACGATATCATGATCATTGGAAAGAATTTCGACGAACACCTTGCCAATTTGAAAAAAATTTTCATCAATCGCTCATCTACAAGTAAATGTCAAGAAGTTTGAGCTTTTTCGAGAAAAAGTTAGTTTCCTGGGACATGTTATTTTATTCTTAGGAATTGCAGCACACCCGGCAATAATAAAAATACTACAAGAATGGTTCATACCAGGTGGTAAAAACACGATGTCCGAAGCTTCCTTGGCCTTTGCACTTACTATCGTTGCTTCGTGAAGGAATTTGGAAATATTACCAAACCTCTCCATCACCTGACTAAAAGTAAGCTGTCATTTGACTGGACAACCGGCTACCCGCATGCCTTTACCACAAGCATAAATTGACAACAGCTCCAATCATGGCATATCCGAAAGAACTCTGCTTGGCACAGAAGCTTCTTAAAATTACATCAGGCGGTGCTTTCCCAAATGGCATCAGGAGGTTGAGGAACACGTCTATAAGGAACACAATATCAGATATTTTCCAAACAACCTGTTACTACACAGGAAGGTATGATGCAGAGAGTCTTACTTGCTTTTATTTCTCCAACACTTGACCATGTTTGCAGAATAACTAGACAAAACCTAATGAAAAGGATTTATAAATGTTTAGTAGTAACTTATTTTGACCAAGTTATAAAAGTTTACCACTTTACGTTATAAAATTTTATTTATCTAATATTACACCATCTACGCAGTGCAGTAGAGAGAACAACATTACTGCGATTTCAAGGGGGAACAGGACTTATGGACA